TTTTCTTATCAGATTCCTTCTGATCAATTTAGGTCATAAGGGTAGCAGTTTTATGCTTTGCACAGATGCAACACTAAATAAAGAGACTTCAGCGATTGCATTTCGGGTTTCTAGGGGGTACATTTTCCCACTGCAATAAGCAATATAAATAGTTATAAGTAGTAAACGTTAGCGGTTTGGTGTGGTCTATCTTGTGATCATCATGCTACATTTACTTTCAGTAAACACAAAGTAAGAAAACATGAATCAGCCAATAACAGCATCTGTCTCTCATCGGCAATTACTGGCATCCTGTTTTTAAAAAAAAGGCAAAATGTCAGTTCACAGGACTATGTTGGCGACACAATCACCAAAACAACAAGGACGTTGGGATAAAAGCTGATATTAAGAACCGAGCCTGTGCATTTGTTTTTAGCTTGTTGATATACAGTGCCTTGTGAAAGTATAAATTTTTTTTACATTTTGTTATGTTGCTGCCTTATGATAAACTTCTTTAAATTACTTTTTTTCCACATCAATCTACATTCCATACACCATACTGACAAAGCAAAAACAGAATTGTCACAACTTCGTAAATTTATTAAAAATAAAAAACTGAAATAAGTACATTGCATAAGTATTCATACCCTTAACTAAATATTTAGCTGAAGCATCTTAACAGCCTCAAGTCTTTTTTTGTTTGATGCGACAAGCTTTGCTCATCAGCATTTCCACACCGCCATAAAGACTGGATTGGTGGAGTGTTGCAGCGATGTTTGTCCTTCTGTAGATTTTATTCTGTCTCCACATATGATCATGGAGCTCAACTAGAGTGACCATCAGGTTCTTGGTCACCATGCTAACCAAAGCCCTTCTCCATCAGTTGCTCAGTTTGGCCAGGAGGCCAGCTCTAGGAAGAGTCCTGGTTGTTTCATACTTCTTCCATTAAGGGTAACAGAGACTACATGGTTCTGTGACCCTTCAATTAAGCAGAATTTTTTTCTGAACTCTTCCACAGATGTGTGGCTTGACGCAAACCTGTTTCTGAGCTCTACAGGCAGTTCTTTTGACCTCAGGGCTTGGTTTTTGCTCTGATATGCATTATCAGCTGTTAGACCTTTTATTAAGACGTGTGTGCCTTTCCAAATCATACCCATTCAATTGAATTTGCCACAGGTTAACTTCACTCAATGTGTAGTAATATCTACAAGCAAAATGAATGCTCCTGAGCTAAATTTCAACTGTCCCAGATAAGGGTATGAATACTTATGCAATGGAATAATTTTAGTTTTTTCTTTTTAATAAATTTGTTTTTTTTGCTTGACTATTATGGTGTATGGAGTGTAGATTGTTGTGGAAAAAAACTAATTTAAAGCAGTTTAACATAAGGCAGCAACAAAACCAAACAAAATGTGAAAAAAATGAAGGGGTATGAATACATTCGCAAGGCACTGTAGGTAGTTTTGTCAGTTTACATGAGACAATTTTAACATACATTTAGAAATGTTTATAAATCATTGTTGTAATGTACATAATCTTTTAAACACACTCTTAAAATTGATCTTGAAGTTTTTTCACAGCAATGCCATAGAATAACCAATTTTGGTTCCCCAAAGAACCTTCCAGTGTACAATTCTTAAAACAACATTTTTCAAAGTTTTTACCCTGACCCTCTTGAGGAACAACAGCCTGAATCAACAGAGATTTTCCTGCTTCAGTCTGACTCGTGATTAGTGCTGCTGTCAAGGTGCCACCGAATGTGTTGCTCAGCATTTTTACCACAATTTGGAAAAGTGGCTGACCTACTGATAGTACACTTTTGTTTTTTTTCAAGAATCAGAGAGCTTTTAAATTCCCAGAAACCTGGTTATAGTAAATGTCATTAATAGCTTTACATGGAATTAAGTCTCTGGGACGTCCAGTAAATGGGCAATTGAACCTTATGGACATAGCAAATTGTCACTTCTGGGAAAGCAGCTTTGTGTGAGAAAGCACTGTTCATTTAATTGTAATCTAATAAGTTATACTAAATAAAAATTCTTAATTTGAAAAAAAAATAAATAATTATGATATCTTTGTATGCAAAATCAATCAATCAATAAAAAGTATGAATTGTCAGTGCAGACTTCCTTGTATGCCTCGTGGTGACTAGACGTAGGTAGAAGTTGCTCTGAAAAATCTCAGAAAAGATCTCCATGTTTCTTTAATTCTACAGAAGGGATTTCTGCATCTTTACTTTAGGAAGCATTCAAAGCTTATTTATGTGGAGAAATAATTGGTAACAAATTGGTAAACTAGACCAAATTTACGCGTAACACACAACTCCATTATTATATAATTGAAGTGTTTTTTGCAATCTGAATATAACCTTCTTTCCACCACCCAGCTTCTGCTTAAATCACGACACCATTTTTATGAGTTTGGCGATAAACCAGGTAAAGCTTAAACTTAAACCTGCAAAAAAATTTATCACCGAAATCCAAACCCAAGAACGCTATATTGTATCAGAAAGAAAATCAAGCAGAACTGGGAATCAGATCTTAACCATGTTTTCACAGACGAGGAATGGTCCAAAACCCTTTGTCGTGTACATACCTCCTCTATTTGTACTCGTCATTCTCTTATTCCGTTTAAGATGTTACATAGAGTGTATTGGACAAAGACCAAATTGTCTAAAATGAACCCTGGTTTTGATCAAACTTGTGATCGGTGTCGACAGGCTCCAGCTATCTTTTATCATACTTTTTGGCTTTGCCCAGCATTGACCTCTTTCTGGGCATCACTTTTCAAGTCAATTTCTGAATGTTTTATTTTAGATATTGAACCATGCCCTCTAGTAGCATTATTTGGACTCAACCCCCCAAAAGTTCCCTTGTCACCTTCAAAGTCAAATGCGCTCGGCTTCTGCTTGATGATTGCTAAAAGGCTTATATTACTGAACTGGAAAAATCCTTCCCCACCCAGCTACTTTCATTGGATGCCCTACCTGATGCAGCTTAATCAAATCAGTAATCTTAATGAAAAGATCAGATTTACAATACTTGGTATTACAGAAAAAATTCAAACTACTTGGCAACCCTTCTTGTCATAAATAAAGGAAGAAGTAAGAAAATAAGAAAAAACATTTTCTCTATACCTGGCCTTTACGGTTTCTTTCCCTTGCCCCTGATTTACTAATAAATGGAGAGCACAGAGGAAAAAAAGATATATATTGTTGGAAGTGTTTATGTACTTAGGTGCAGAATTGTTATAATTACTGCTGCATTTTTTTTTTTTTTTTTGGTCCTTGAGTAAGGACGTTTTTGGCTAATTTACTTTTGATCTTTGTTAATACAATTGCTGTTCTATTGTCTTTTTAATTTGTGTATCTCTCTGATTGAATAGCATTAATAAAAAAAGAGTTCAACTAAAAGTATGAAATTGTCTTTACACTTTCTGCTCTTCATTCTGAAGTCATTGGTTCAATAAGACAAGAACAAAACAAAACCTGTTTGGCTCTTGAGTCTTTGGTATCTAAGGTGGTACCGTGGCTGTCTTCCGTCATTTTCTCTGCAGCTGCACGTTCACAATCACAATTATGAGACAGTTCACCCCTCTTCCTGTTTTAACTCCGCCACTCCTCTGCATGCTTTAGGAGAGGAAGCAACAAAGCATACGTTATGACTGTAGCCTACACATGACACACCAGGCTGCACGTATAACTGAATCAGGCAAGTTGACATTAAAGGATTAATTAATAATATAGCAGCATAAAGTAAATAAACATATCATGCAAACTATACTCTCATTCCGGCGTAATAATCAAGGAAATTTGCTGCCGTACCATGGGTGCAGCAGACGCAATGATATTACGCAGCACCTGAAAATAGGCTAACTTCCGCCAACATAACCAACGTGACCACCTGCTTGCACAGGGAGCGTGCCTTCCGTCGGAAGTTACCTAGCTGGGACTATTTTCAGGCGTTTTCACCCATGGTATGGCAGCAAAGTTCCTTGATTATTACGCCGGAATGAGAGCATATCGGCCTAGAAAATCGCTGGTCTAGTTGGTTGCTAGGAAGTTCTGGCATATTGCTAGTGTGTTCTAGCTGCTTGCTTGTGGGTTCTGGCTGGTTACTAGACGTTCCTAGGCAGTTCTGTCTGATTGCTAGGTGTAGATAGTTGGTTACTTTGCGTTGTTAGTGTTGCTTCCTAAAGACGTCTATGAAGTAGTTCCAATTTGTGGACCGCATTACAGTTGCATATCACTTCGCCAAATGTCCACTGAGTGGCAATCATGGCAACAGAACTTCAATAAACAGCTGAAAAAAGGTTAATTAACTCGGTTAAACATTCACTTTTAAAAGTAATAACTGTAAAAATAATTGTATTTAAAAATAACTAAATAGACGAAAATATTATGTTAATATGTAGGCCTACTGAAGCGATTGAGAGAGAGACGGGGAAATATAAAGGTAAGCGCGCTCTCTCTCTCTCTCTCTCTCTCTCTCTCTCTCTCTCTCTCTCT